AAGGATGAGAAGACCTACCGATGCTGGATCAACATTTGATTTTATATCTCTGCATCCTTGCCCTTATACAAAACTTACATGGTAAAAGACACTTAAAACCCTGGTCTGGGGTTGAATGTTAGCTGAGCGTTGCACGATATGCACCTGCTCTTTGAGGAGATGTTATTAAAGTCCACTTGAGTCATTATCATAGGACAACCATGTGTAGATTGCTGGCAACTGCGACCCCGTGCATAGCCCCTTGGTGTTATCTTCTGGTTTTGGTGTGTATTTGTTTAGCCCCTTATGTCATATCGATTGAGGTTTCATCCTGCTGAACCAGTACATAGCCTTCTCTTTGGCGGCTGGCTCCACCTTGGTCTTGATCCAGGACACCACAGCTTTCCGCCACCTCACAGGCGTGGCTTGGAGGTGATTCAACATAAGATCCCAAAATGGCCGGTTTCCCCGCAATCCATTCCGAAGAGTGACAAATTGGACACAATGGCTCAAGCGGCCCCAAGAAGCGTACCCTAAAACAACGTACACACGTTTTTGTTAGCTGACCCTTTTGAGGCGCAGAGAAAACACGGCACTTCCGAATGAGATAGTCGGCGCCTGTTAAAGACCAAGGGGTCCGCTCTAAGGCCTCCCCCCAGAGACAAGAAAGCTTGCGTAAGCCTCAGCAAAGCTGCCTCAGCAAGGCCATCTTCGGAGCACAACCCATCAGTATACCTCATATGGTTAGGCGGGTTTCTTGTTTCAATGACAAGCATACGGTGCACTAGCTTTGACCGTTTGCTGAGTGCCACACATGGCCATCATTGCTTCCGTCCGAATGAACATGGAGACAGTCCCAGGCGGATCCCCCAGCCAGAGTTGGGCTTTCCGAGGACCTCTTTGGAATTCAACATATTTTCACTGTGTCCTGACACAGGGGCCCGCCCCAAAATGGAGATTTATTCTAGGATTGGGCCGTTGGCGGTTAAGCCCTTTCCTTTTCCCTCGCTCCCTGAGCTCACGTTGTTGTTCCTTTGCGAGATCATTTCAGTGGCAGACAGCTGCGCCTGTGACAGACAGCTGCGACAGACACGAACTGACAGCCATAACAGTCCGAACTCTGAGGCGAACCAAGACAGTAGTGACAGGGCCAGGCTCGCGCCAGTGGCCGGACCAGAGCAGTGGCCTATCCGGCCAGTCGCAGCTGTGAAGCTTGAGGCTCCTTCCAGCCGCTAGGACAGCTGCTGTGCCAGGCCAAAGCCTCAGGCTCACGCTGGCTGGCCAGGACGGCCACGACAGTCCGATGCCTCCCCCTCGCTCTTGCGTACGCTTCTGGAAGATGTGACTGACAAAGACTGTCTTCAACCATCTTCAACAGGCCAAGGTGTTACAAAAGTCTCTGAAACGTCAAGAAACCCCAATACGCCATGGCCGTCTGACTACCTGCTGTCAGACTTGCTTGACACCGCTGATCTGCTGCGAAAGATGGAAGGTTCCCCAGTCTCAACACCTAGCATCTGCCTGAGTTCGAAGGGAGCGTCACACTTCGTTCAATACAGCCCTTCGGGGAGCAACCAATAGAAGCAGTAGAATGGAAGTCCACTGTCTACTGTCTACAAGTACTTCAAACAAAGCCCCCATGTCATGGTCAAAACGACGTGGACCTCGGGAACAGTTCATAGCATCCCCAGAGATCACGCGACACCCAACCCTCAGTCAGACAATAACGCACCCCGTCGAAAGACCCCGTCGAAAGACCCCCGGCCCTGCGGAGGCATTGCCCGTCAAAGCCTCGGGCTCTCCGAGACGTGGGGGGAACTGGCCCCAAGCGCAGGCTCGGATCGCTCCGTCCGGGAGAGACTGGTGACCAGGGAGACTTCTGGTTTGTTTCGGCTAGGGTTAGTTGCTTTGGAGCTTTGTGTCGTGCTGCCAAGGATTGATAGTTTGGATTTTGTGTGAACTGCCGCGTTGGCTTCGCATACTCTAGCAATCTCCAAGTACAAGGGCAAGCCAAAGCCACTGAGCACCATCACCTTCATCATCGTCGTTGTCATCATCATCATCATCATCATCATCATCCTCATCATCATCATCATCATCATCATCATCATCATCATCATCATCATCATCATCATCATCATCATCATCATGTTGAGGAACAAGCTTCAACACCAAAGCGTGTCAGAAGTCTTTGTGCAGGATACACCTAAGCCGAAGTGTTATGTTAATCCACTTGTGGAATCTTGTGGGAGGTTTGATCCGCATGGCCAGGCGAGTCAACAGACTGTATTGCGAGCTACCTGGGCCTGCCAAAGACTGCCCCTTGGCAGCAAGGAAAGCTTATGGCACCTGAGTTAGATGTCCAAAGCAGACGTTTGAAACACTTGGTTTCTAGTCTGTTTCAATCGTGTACACTGTATATTGGTTCCAAACAGACAACATGCTACTTTGAGATCTTCCAAGCATTTGACAGACACTGGTGTGAGGATTTTGCCTTTCTTGAGCGCTGCCTCTGTTTGTGATCTTTGATTGCCATGGGAGAACAATCGACACCACTGCAGGTAGCCGGCACCCTTGGTTTTGAAACATGTTGTGTTTGCTTGCCACCTGCATCGATACCTGGAATTCTGGCTTGCCCATGCGGCATGCGCCCTTTCCCATGTTCCCATCATTTGGATGACAAATGAGGGAGCAACAACATGCTCGGCAGTCTATTGTTTGTTGGGGTCGACATGGCGGTCTCTCCCAAATGTCCTGTCAAGAACCGTTTGCAGGTTTGCAGGGGGGTCCGGCCTTTCTTCCCACGTCCTGGGGAAACAAGTCATTTTGCACATTGACCCTCTTGACAAAGGTGGGGCATGGTCAGCTCATGAAGAGCATCTTCCCCTGCTTCCTGATGCTGATCTTGGCTGCACCGACCTGAGTGGACTGGAGCTGGGCATGGAAGCAAGCCAAGCGCTAGACGATTGACAAGGGAGCCACAATCAAAAGGAGGGTGGATGAAGGCTAGCACTGTTGGTTCTTTACATGCATGTGGGCAGGCCTGTTTGATACCAGGTTTGGGCTGTATTTTGAGGTATCAGGAACCAGGCAAGTCTACCGGCAGCTCTCAGAAGAATCATTGCCTTTGGACATGGCCCAGCTGTCTGCCTCGAGTTGAGTTGGATTCAAACTTTGAAATGGCTTGGATTGCTGTGGATTGGATTGAACTGGCTTGTAATAGTGCGGAGTGGTTCGATTTTGCTTGAATCGGTCCAACATGGTTTCATACTTTGGTTCGTTCTTTGCTGGTAGCAATGCTGACAAAATGTTGACACTTTTTGGGGCCCTTTTAAGGCAACATAAACAACTGCGCTGGGTCCAACCCCCCCCCCCCCCGATTTGGTGCATATGTGTGGCCAAAAGGCGATTCCTGGCGGCTGGCTGCTTTGATTGCATGCTTGTGTGTCCACACCTGAACCTTTGAGGTGGTGCAGGATGTGCCCTCCGCTCTCATCGTGGGAAGCAACATCTTCCTGCCTAGCACCTGGGCGTGCGTATCATTCCAGAGGGCCATGATGGGCATGCCTGCATTTGCCTTGGTTAAATGCTCTCCTTCAGATTACCATGCAGCCCAGAAGCCGTTAGTTGTTCGTTTTCCAGGAATATCGGAATACCCTTTTGGGGGCCCCTGCTGGGTTCCTTGTCAATTTGCAGGGAGCTAATACGGTGGTAACGAGTTGTTGTGGTTGTTGTGGTGGTTGTTGTTGTTGACGCAAGTGGCTTGCCCCTATTGACCCTGTTGACATTGTCCAATGGAAACTTCAACGCCAAAAACAAGATTAGGAATACGTTTTTCTCCCCGGCCAATGGCAGGAGACGTTTGCTGCAGGCAGCTGCCCTGCCTAGTCGGCCTCCATGTAGGTCTCCGCATGTTTTAAAAACCGCACTGACACCGGGGGGGCGATGTCCCGAAGGCAATTTGAAATTGAGTCAGGCCGTCCAATCAGCCGAGGAGTGTGTGCCTCCATGGTTTTGCATGGACGCGCAACGTGTGATGCTCGTGACGCATGCATGGACTGTACACGGAATACGGTCACACATGCACATATAAACATATTGTATCACATGATTTATATTTTGTATTAAAGACATTAAACGCTTTGCTGGGGCGGGATGTGCAACTCATATTTTTGCTCTGCTAACTGAGGTTTGTGGGGCCGGTTTGGCCGCTTCTTTGTGTGCTACCGCACAGAGCCTGAGAAGGCTGGATAAGCTACTTTCGACAACGCCTATGGGCCTCGGAAGACTTCTAGCGAGGCGCTCAAAAGGATAGAGCGATGTCCGGAGATACGGTTGGCTCATAAAGTACCTAGTTTCTTCCAAGGATGTGCCTCTGACTGGCCGACGGGCCTTGCTGACCAAGAGACCTGCGGGCATGTGACTAGAGCCTTTGCATGTCTCACCCCGTGCTTTGCTGATGAAAGTGGAAGTCTAGCCACTTTCGGATTGCCGGTGTTCGTTCCCCAGTTGCAAACATAGACGGAACTGAGAAAGCATTAAGTCATTACCAACTGAAACCAGCTGAACATAGTGGATCTTCGTCTATACCGAACTAACATCTGTAGTTGCCGCATTTGAGCTTCGCCTTTTGTGGAGCCGCCAGGCGGGGGGGCGGGTGCAGTGCGACTCGTTGCCCTCGGGGCCGTGGCTCTTCGCCGCGGTGGCGCTGCTGCCGCTGGTGCCGCTGCTGGCGGTGCTGGGCTGGCGCGCCGCGGTGAGGTCTGAGGCGCGAAAGCGGCCGAAAGCGGCCGAAAGCGGTCGGAAGCGGTCGGAAGCGGTCCAATGGGCTTCCTATGGCTTCCTCTTCTTCAAACACCTTCCAAGGGCGCAGGGCTCCCGGTTCCCTGTCGAGATGGTTTTCTGCGGCATCTTGGGGGAATTGACAATTTAGAGTGAGCTTCCTTTTGGATGTTTAAAGGCATTACGGGAGCCCGGGGCGCTGGGTGCATTTTTTTTTTGTTTTAAAGAGAGTAGCCGTTTGAGGGTTGGTGCAAAAAGGAAGCCAACGAGAAACCGAACATTTTCGGAGTGCCAACATTTGGACATCGATTTGAGCGATATTTCCCTTGGTCCGTGAATCGACTGTTTCTAAGGTTAAGTAAGCATTTGCGGGTGTCCCTTAAGTTTCCTAGTGGTTTTCCCTGAACGCCAAGAAGTAGCTCCCCCTCCTTTTGAGGCACGCCCCGGGTTCCAGGGGTCCCGTAGCCACCCCGGAGCAGAGGGTGCCTGGCACCCCTCTTTGTCCGACACCAAACAGTCAAATAGTTTAACCACTTTCCCCCAGGGCCACTGATCTTTCGCAGGCCGGATTGTGAAGGTAGCGGTGGTTTGCACCAATGAATTCAAACCTTTCATCCCAAAACCGCCCCTCAAGAACAGGCTTGTTCTGCAGACAGCCCAAACTCCCAAATGAGAGAACACAAGGCATCCATCCAGAGCCCTCCTCTCCCCGTCCCCTTAGAGGCTCAGCCGCCGCCTGGCCATGTGGTCTACCTGACAAGGGGCTACAAGCCCGAGCCGCCCGGAAGAGAGTGGGAGGTGAGTCAACCAGTTCCGGATGTTTCGTCAAACACCAGTCAGTTGGCTTGACCTTTAACCTTTCAACCTTGCAAGATCAAATCCACAGGTCTCCCAGTGGTCAATGGTTCCTTTTCCAGCTTGGGATATGTGGTTAGTATGGTTGGCTTTTAGCCATACTTTTCTAGGAACGTGTCGAGGTTTCTCGAGACCGCTCTAAGGCGTGCCCCGTTTTGACTTAGGGGGCTTAACCTGTGATCAAGTGTGAAGCTATTTTCACAGGGGTTGCTCCCAGTCTCTTGAGTAAACTTCAAGGGTGGGAAATTATGGGGCCATACCTTAAACAAATATTCCAGGGGACCACGCCACTCCTGGGAGTATGCTTCTTGACTTTGTTTGTTCTGTTTGTTTTTTTTGGGAGGTGGTCTTGGGGTCCCTTGATGGTAGTTTTGTTCAGTTTCGGGGGTGGGGGTGAGACGGGCCCAAGGAATATATTGTGTTGTTTGTTCTTAGTCGGCAATCACATCGCAACCCAATTACGATCAGAATAATCTTTGCCCATGGTGGTGAGGACCCTCAGGAAGAATGTGAAACATATTCCAGGGGTGGACCAACCTGGTCCCATGGGAAATTGGTTCGCTTTCTTTGGTATCCTTTCGCACACCAAGTATTGTCTACTTCTGCCAGGGACTTTAGAGCAACCCTTGAGGTGCCAGGGCTTTGAGCTCGAGCGTCTGCTGCGGAAGATGCTACTGCGGATGCTGAGCGGAATGCTGCCAGTCACCTTGGTTCCCGCCCTCCACGTGGCAGGCACAGCGATCGTAGAAAGGACTCAGTCGAACATGGAAGAACACCATTGATAGGGCAGGGGCCGTTCTGCTTCAGGCATGATGCTCGTGCTTCTAGTGGCATTCGTGGCGTACCTGCACAACATGCCGTATGAGCTGCTCGCCAAGCATGTGTTGGTTCAGTCATCGAGCGGTTAAAGGCGAGTCATGATTAACAGGGCCCAACATGTACCGAAACCATCTCAGCCTTCTTGCAGATTTCTGTGAGCGGGCGCATGACAGGCCTTTTCATCCGCTGATGGGTTCATCTAAACCAAACACACTCGGCAGGGCCAAGGTAACACACTTCGAGAGGCCGAGCTTGAAATGGCCGCAAGCACTTCGAGTGTACCCTGTGGGCTCCATCGAAAACATCCCTTCAGAACCTGAAACGGTATTCCTTGTTTGGAGTCCATTGGGCTGGAATTCTGAGTCTAAGTTCCAAGTCGCCCCAGTCCTACTAGTTGGAGTATGTCACTCGCCTGGTTGGCTTCTACAGATTTTACAGGAAGATGCAGTAGCTGGATATTTGGACGGGTGTGTTTTCCATATTCTTCTGAATTTCCAAGCTTTTTGCTTCATCTCCGAAAGACCAAAACGAACCCAACCTGTGACCTCGTTGCCGGTTTGCAGTGAGCCCATGGCCTTCCGAGGCGCACCCGGTGGAACGTCACGGAGGTGTCGCTGGCGACCACCGCGCTGCTGATGCTCACCTGCGCCAATTGCATGGTGGCCAACGAGAGGTACTGGGGCCACTCCGCGCCTCAGACAAAACACGATCTGGGTGGCTGAAGGCCAGTTGCCCAGTACCCTCGAAATTGTTTTTTGTTTTTAGATTGAGGAAGGGCAACTGCTGTGAAGTGGACTACTCCTTTTGTTCCATAGAAATTCGATGGGCGTATGAGGTGTAGAGCGGGTTAAGGAATTGGTATAGGGCGGGCCAGGATGTTTAAGGTGGGTGTAGGGTGGGTTTATAAAGTTGGTTGAGAGTCGGTTGGTTTTGGCTGGGATTAGGGTAGGTTTGGGGTTGGGCCAACCCCTTCGTGAAACATGCTTGAACGACTGATCTTCAACAAATCGGCATTTGGGTTTCCCTCTAACCAAGACCAGAGGTTGGTAGTTCAGAAAGCATGGATATTCCCAAACATTGCGCAAAGGCGAGCCCAAAAGATCAAGCTGGAACATAGACCTAAGAAAATTAGGCTTAGTCTCCTGACTTGGCCTTAGAAAGCCCGGAAACCCGAGCATCTTCATTGTTCAAGTCATCTCCTTTTGGGGAGTGGACCCGTTCTGGGGTTCAGTGCTGCTTTGGACAGGGCGCTTTGCCTTCCAATTATTTTGAGAAAATGAAGTGGGGGCCCTTCCATTTTGGGCTCACCTTTTGGTGATCATTTCTATTTGGACCAGCGGCTGAACATACTATGTTCGCAAGGGCATGCAAGGGCTCTTGCACACAATGGTTGGTTCACAAGGGGATCCTGCGCCATTCTTGATGTGTCACTCTCAAAAGCTGCTGATGCGTTTTTTGTGAATTGGGGAACCCGATATTCGAGACGCTGGTTCTTACAGTATTGCGACGAGCCAAACGTGGCCTTTGTTGGACCTTGACTGCTCTTATGTAAATTCCCATTGGCGTGCTGGAGGTCATCCAAAGCATGTAGTCTAAGCTATTCCAGCTGTGCCTCTAGTGCGGTTGAGAGTTGAGCTCGGCTACAAAACTGGAAACTTGGAGGTTGGTTGTCCTCTTTGTATCTTTGAGCGACCTTGGGCCGTGATCGTTGTGGCTTTGAAGGGCGGCACATGTCTCTGCATGTTGACCTGTCTGCCTCAGCTTTTTGGGGGTTTCAAGGGGTGCATGGAGGGCCGGAGCCTCACGGTGGGCCTGGCGGCTCCTTTGCCTCCTTGCTCGGGCAAGCGCTGAGCACTGCGTTTGACGCTCCAGTGCACTTCGCCTTGCCTGAGTGCCCGATCTGCCCCGGCTTTGAGGTGGATCTGGGCGCTCTGGACTTCAGGTCGGTGCTGATCGGGATCCTCGTGGGCGTCCTTGCGGGGCCTCTGCTGGACATCCTCTCGCTGCTGAGGTACTCTTGGCGGACCTGGGTGCGAAACCGCATTGCATCGCTGGCGCGGCGCTCTACCACCTTGTACCGGGTTCTTTGATGCCCGCCCTGCCTTCGCTAGCTGCTTTGTCCAAGAGATTCGAGCTGCTAGAGGCGGAGGTTGTCGAGCTTCGTGAGCGGGTGGAGGAGTTGGAAGGCGCGGGCGATTTTGGGTTTGAGGCAGTGGACGAGGTACCTCTGCAGCGGCCTTCATCACTCCCGGCTTCCTCTTCGACTCCTTCTACGAGAGCTCGAGGTGCGGTTGATCCTGATCGAGCTGCAGTGGCTCGTGAGGTGGGCCTGTTTTTGAGGAGGTGCTTGTCGGGTGAACATCGCGGGACTTCGGGCCGCTCCAAGGTGAAGGTTGCAAGTTCTATTTACTTGGTGTGCCAGGATTGGGACCGCAGGGCTTACAACCCCCCCTTAGTGTTTCATCGGCGGAGTGAGGTGCGGAGTTTGTGTACTCGGACTCGCGATTTCGGATCTTCTATCTTCGTGGGCCTGCCCACGAGCTTGGAGGCGGTGATTGCGGTCGAAGCTGCTGGGTTGGAGATTCCTGGCTTCAGGATTGATGGCTTCAGACGCCAACGGACCTGCTGGGGCTCTTCCTCACCAACCACTGCAGTTGCGAGATTGCTTGGTCGTACAGGAGGGAGAGTGTGACCCTGAATATTCTATTGGAGAGTTGCAGATTGAGGGCCAACCCGGTCAGAGTCTGGCGGTGGTTGGAGTCGCTACGATTGGCGACAGAATTTTGGTTGCTATTCCTGAGGCTGCATGGAATCGTCGAAAGGCGTGGCGCGTGCTGCCTGTGGGGTCTCTCACCAAGGCCATCAATGTGTCAGTGCAGTGTGCTTATGCAGAGGAGCGGGACACCCAGCTGGACGAGACCTACGTCAGGACTTGGCTGGGATTCCTGAACGAAGAGTTTGTGGAACAGGTCACTTTTCCCGATCGGGTCGAGGCCGACCTTGTATTTGGTCACGATCCTCGAGGAAGAGCACTGGTCCCCTTCGGCGAGGCGCTCTACGCGGTTGCCAACGACCACTTTGCCTTTGTCACTGCGGAGAGTGGGGCTGGAGCCCTCGAGGGTGGAGACAAGATTGCTCCCGAGCTCGAAGCCCGCTTCTCTCAGATCGAAGCGGGTATCCGAGCCATTCAAGATGCTCTTCGGTCCCCCGGGGCTTCACCGCTCTCGCCTGGACCTCCAGCCCCCGCCACGCCTGCTGCCCCACCTGGTCTCGATCCTGGAGTGGTTCAGCAAGCTCGGGCGGCTGGCATCGACGAGGCTGCCCTGGCCGAGATGGCGGGTCTGGTGTGAGGCGGAGCAAAGGCTCCGCCCGAGCGGGGAGGCGCCCCCCGTTTCAGTCCCAAGTTCAGAGGAGGGGGAGGACATCGCCCTGGAGAAGAAGGAGAGCCGAGGACGAGGTCTCAACGGGATTCTGGATCAAGCAGAAGGTATTGGGTCAGCTCGCTCTACCGGCAGCGCGCGGAGCAAGGCCTCTGCCCTGAGGTCTCTCCAGGGGCTTCTGCGATCCGAGCCCGAGCTGATTTACCAGACGATCGAGGGCTTCATGCTGGAGGATTGGGCCCAGACAGCTGCTGCCCCCGGTGTCGACAATCCTGCCGTGACGGCTCGTGCGTGGTTGGAGCATCGCAGTCGCATCCAGAACTATCAGACCACTGTGCGGTTTGCTTGGATGTTGGGCGGCGTTTGGGACTGCTTGCGACAAGGGCGGGTCGACGAGGCTCGAGCTCGAGCCGCTCTCGGAGTTGCAGCGGCCGATCAAACTGCTCACGATCGCGGCAGTTGGCTTCTAGCCAACGAGGTTTTGCTGGAACACGCACCTCCGTTCGCCGTGTTTGGACATCACGCACTGCCCGAAGGTCCGGGAAGCTCAGCATTCACGCTTGTTGGATCCACGCTGGGTCGAGCTCTACATGCACAAGCTGAAGGACTTTGCCGAGTTCCAGGAGAAGAAGTTCCGACTTGGCAAGGGCCGGAGCTACCCGACCGAGGACGACAACAAGGAGAAGTGGAAGCCGGAGACCAAGAAGACTGCGAAACCCGCAAAGGGCGACAAGAAGGGCAAGGAGAAGAGCACGGAGCGGGAGCCGGGAGCTTCCAGCAGCGCTTGATCCCGGGCGCTGATTTCACCGGTGCTCGAGAGCAGCGCTCGCTTCGAGCGGAGTGCCGGAAGGACAGACTGCTCCAGGTCCCGGGCGAGAACGCCCCGTCTGCGGACCTGCTTTCCATTTGGAATTCGATTCACCGCTGGATCCTGCAATCCGGTGGTCCTTTTGCTTCTTTCCTGCGTTCCAGCTTTTTCAGGGCGGCCTCTTCGACAGCGGCCACAGCTTTCCACATCTGGCCTATGCCGATTCCATTTCGTCAAGAGCATTCCTACAAGGAGGAGACCTTTGACCAGCCCGCAAGCGCCACCACTTCGCACCATCAGGTCCGATGCCGGCGGAAGGCCGTAAATCTATTGGTGGCGTTTTTGAATTGGCTGCATTTGAGGAAGGTCCCCGTTTGTCCTGAGAGCTGCCGGATCGGTGTCACTTTGAATCGTTTACAACGTGCTACAGTTCGGCGGCTCTCCTTCTTCTTTGAGGAGCTCGAAGTGTGTGGAATCGTCAGTCCTCAAGACATGGGACGGACGGCCAGCAAGGTGGAGGGCTTGGAAGAGATTGCCATGGATCTGGAGCGCTTAGCCAGAGAGCTAGGCCTTTGCACTCCAGCGCCTGGCGAGTACGGCCACAGGACGGCGGGAACAGGTGCTGTTCGGCCCCCTTTAGCCCCTGGCGCGACATCTGCGGATTCTGGTGTTGTGGTGGGGAAGCTACATCGTGGTCTACCTGTTCTCGCCAAGGACGTTGATGCCTCTCGACTTTCTTTCCCTCAGGACCGACCCAAGTTTAAAGCGTCCGAGGTGCTCAAGGGCATCCAGCGGGAGGTGTACAACTCCCCACTGCAATGGGCCCAAGACCCTGCTTCATCCACTTGTCCTGTACCCCGAGCTCATGTGCAAGCGTCCCGGAGAGGCGCCCTCAAGTTGCTCGAATTTCTAGATGCTCACCATCGCCTCGAGTTGCTTCCCGAGGCCGAGATTCGCCGGTCCCATCTGTGCGGAGCTTTTTCCCTGCTGAAGGATCAGACCCGCGACCGACTGATTTAGACGCACGTCCTGCCAACATCTTGGAGGAGCCGGCGCTGAATGACTACACCCAGACATTAGGGGCTGTCCAAGCTTTGCTGCAGGTTGAACTCCTTCCTGACCAACAGATGATATTTCACGGTGATGACCTGCGCGATTATTACTACTGTTTCTGTGTGACGAAAGAACGAGTGAATCGCAACTGCATGAGGTTCCCTCTGGCCCCTCGAGATGTTGCCCACTTGTCATGTTTTTCAGAGAAACTGCTGGAACATAAGACGGTCTACCCTTGCTTAGCTACGATGGCGATGGGAGATCTCAACGCTGTGGAGTTCGGACAGGCTGCTCATATGTTGCTAGCTCTGGACTGCAGGGCCACTAGTTTGGAAGAGCTCCTGACTGTACGCGGCCGCGCTCCCCGAGGCAACCTGGCCACTGGCATCATCATTGACGACTACGTGGTCTGTGAGAAGGTCGTTGCTCCTCCGGGGGATCTCCCCACAGAGGGCGAGACTCGCATGGCCTGGATGAACGAAGCCTACGCCAAGGTTGAGCTGACAGCCCACACTGGCAAGGCTTTTCGGAGAGAGTCCCAGGCCGAGTTTTGGGGCGCTGCAGCTGATGGTAGCAAAGGTACAGTCCGACCCTCCCCTAAGCGGTTGATCCCCTTGATCATGATGACGGTCCGGGTAGCTCGTTTGCAGATCGCTACAGTAGGTCTTCTGGAGATTCTGGCGGGGTCGTGGGTAGCGATTTTTCAGTTTCGAAAGAGACTGATGTGCCTCTTGGAAGAGATCTACGCAGCGCAACGAGACCGAGAGCAGAACTGCATTGTTCATTTGATTCATGAGCTGTGGTCCTTGGTGCTGGTTGCTCCCTTAGCAGTAACAAACCTCCGCGCCAAGACGCTCCCGGTCGCCTACCTCACTGATGCTTCTGAGCAGATGGTTGCGGGAGTTTCCTCTCGAGTGCCGGAGATTTTTGCGAGGGAGCTCCATCGCCATTGTCTAGCTCGAGGCGTTTGGACCCGGATGCTGACTCCCTGGAAAGTATGGCTTCGACGGCACGACCTGCTACAGCCTGAGGAGGAATTGCCTGCGGGAGTGCCTTTGGTGAGCCATCCTGTCTGGACCTCGCTGGCGCGCTGCCTACCTTTTAAGCTGTTGTTCCGGAGCCCTGTGCGCCGAAGACGCCACATCAATTTGCTGGAGCTCCAGGCCGTGCTGGAGGTTGAGCGACGGGCTGCCCTGCGGAAGCCAAGCTCCAGGTTGCTGATTGGTGTTGATAGCCAGGTAGTGTTGGGAGCACTTTTGAAAGGTAGGACTGCCTCGCCGCCTTTGAACAGGATGCTGCAGTACTCTCTGCCCAGCCTGCTCGGCGGGGACTTGTACAATTCTTACGGTTACGTCCCGTCGTTGGCCAATGTTGCTGATGACCCCACTCGAGGAGCTTCCATTCGAAGCCCTGCTGCTGAGCCCCCTGACTGGCTGGTAAATGCTTTTCAGGGGGACTTTGACATTTTGGACAAGTGGTTGAATGCTTTGGGGTTCGGCCCCCAACAACTTGCGTGCCTCCCCGGATGCCCCAAATCCCTCGATGCCGGAGCGCTCGAGGACTTTTTGCACGAGCTGCGGTCTGTTCAGAAACCAGATCGCCTCGCGCGTTTCGACCAGGCGGTGAAAACCCCTGAGCCTTTTGTCTCACCACCCTGTGAAGCGACAAGAAAGCCTCTTGCGCCCCAAGAGCCAACAAGAGGGAGGTGCTCCCCGCCGGCGGGGACGGAAGAACCCCAAGAGATTGACCCTTCTAGTCCTGTTGGTGACCCTTGTGGACCTGGCCAGTCCTGTGACAATGAGGCACAAGACGGGCGACCCCTTAAGGCCACTGGGCCTCAGCAGAAAAAGAAAATGTCAAGAGAGCCGCGTGCTCCAACGGTGGAGACGTCAAGACTCCAGGAGCCTCAGGCCCGCGTTGGTGTTGGGTTAGGAATCACCGGCCCTTCGGGCCCCCGTAGGTTTCAGGTTGCTTGCCGCCATGGGAATCTGTCGGGGTTTAGTCCCCCTGCTTTGCCGGACGGCGCTTTGCGCGCTCTGCAGGAGCTCCCTGGGACCCAGTTCGTTGTCGACGGTGCTTGGAGTTTGGCTGGGTTTTCCCCTCGCTTCAAAGGGTTTTTGGACCTCTACAGCGGGAAAGCTGGGGTCGCTCGACAACTCAGCCGACTCTCGGGCACTTGGGTACTCACCTTCGACTATGAGCGGGGCGCCGACCAAGATCTACTGGACCCTGAGGTGCAAAAGAAGATTTTGCAACTGATGCGGTTTGGGGCTTTTCTGGGTGTTGGGGCTGCCCCTGATGGTTCCAGCTTTTCTCGGGCTATCACCCCTGCTGTTCGTGATCGCGATCACCCCGAAGGTTTACCTGGCATCACTCAGAGTATGCACCTGAAAGTTCTCCGTGGGAACCAGCATGCTGCTTTCACGTTGTCAGTGTTGAAGGAGTGCCGGTCTAAAAGCCTTCCGTACTGGTTGGAGAACCCTGACGGCAGTTTTCTTTGGCTACAACCTCAGTGGATTGCTGCTGGTTTTGCCCTACCTGATCGCTGTTTCAGATTTGACATGTGCATTTTTCACACTCCCTGGCGGAGAACTCGGGTGGTCACCAGTACAGACTTGGCCGGGATCCGTGAACTTTGCAAAGGAGGTCACAGTCATCAGGTGCTACGGGGTCGCAGCTTAGCACATCGGGATAACTGGACGCATGTCGCTCAGGTCTACCCCAGATCGCTGTGCACTCGCATAGCCACTGCGATGTTGCGAGCCGTGATCAACGGTGGCGTTGACGGTCAGCTTGACCCGGCTGGCTGCGCAAGGACAGGCACTCTTCGTGTCGGGGAGGCACAGAATCCGGGCCCTCGTCGGTCTCGTGACATCGCCACCCTCGATGAAGCCAAGCTGATCACCCCTGCTACGGCGCTTTTGCAGGACCGAGCTTGGGAGCAGTTTCGCAGCTGGCTGATTGCGAACTTGAGCACAGAGGCCTTCTCCCAGGTTTTCGCTTGTCCCGCTCTTACAGTACAGCTGCTGAGAGCCTTCGGACGAGTGATGTTTGAACGGGGGGAGAGTTTGCATATGTTCAGGCAGCTGCTTGCTTCTGCTCAGAAAAAATTCGCCCTCATCAGACCCCTGATGACACCAGCCTGGACACTCGTCAGCCAGTGGGAAGAGACTGAGCCTTTGGTGCACCGGACGCCGGTTCCGGAACCTCTGCTGCGTGCAATGGTAGCCCTAGCGTTGCTGTGGGGGTGGAGGCGGTGGGCTGGTGCAGCTCTGCTTTGTTTTGAGGGCATTGGCAGAATAGGAGAAGTTCTTCGTGCTGAACGTCGAGATCTACTGCTGCCCAGCGACCTGCTAGACTCAGTCAACGCTGTGTTTTTGAGGATACGGCAACCGAAGAGCCGGCTCCGCGGAAAGGGAAAAGTACAGCATCTGCGAGTGGCGGACCCGCGACTGTTCTTTTTCTGGAAAAGTGCTTTGCTGAGCTTCCCACCTCGTCGAAGCTATTTCCCTTGTCTGCTTCTGCCTTCAGATCCAGGTGGTCTCGCCTACTCAAAGCTCTTCAAGTACCGTCCGCTGTAAAGTTGACACCTGGTGGGCTTCGAGGCGGTGGTGCAGTTGCAGCTTACAGACGAGGGGAAGGTATAACCAGTTTGTTATGGCGCATGAGGCTTGTTTCTATGAAGACCCTGGAGTGCTATCTGCAGGAAACCGCTGCTGATAGTGTGCTGCCAGCATTGACCAAAGAGAGTCGGAGGCGTATCACCGTGGCCAACCAGTTTTTCCCTCTCTTGCTTCCAGCAGAGCACCATGTCAAGACAACTTGACTACCAAGCGACAAGCTCGCACTGATGGTGCTGGCCCTTGCATAGGTGGAAGAGGGCTGCGCCTAGCCCTGGGGTTTGGTCAGCTTGCTGTGCTTGTAAGCTGACCCTTTGTTCAGCCCCCGGCATGGGGGCGCAGCTCCACAGGGGCCTCGAGTCCCAAACCTTTGTCAGAGCCCAGCGGAAGCAGGAAAAGAGGCGGCCAGAGCGACATGTCTCTGCATGTTGACCTGTCTGCCTCAGCTTTTTGGGCCCCACCCGCCCTACCCTGGAAGAGGGCTGCGCCTAGCCCTGGGGTTTGGTCAGCTTGCTGTGCTTGTAAGCTGACCCTTTGTTCAGCCCCCGGCATGGGGGCGCAGCTCCACAGGGGCCTCGAGTCCCAAACCTTTGTCAGAGCCCAGCGGAAGCAGGAAAAGAGGCGGCCAGAGCGACATGGGTGTTTTCACAGCCACACAGGGCCTTAGGACAGTCCTTTTTGTCCAACTCCAAGTCAGGGAGAGACAATGTGCGAGCCCTCAAAATGAAGCGTCCCCTTGGAGGTATACCAAACTGGTCCCGATAAAAGTGGCAACAGGACCCTATTCCGAGTCCAGGATTTTACGCAGTTCATTTTCCTCTTTGCGATTCTCTCCATGGTGGGCCTAGCCGCGCTGGCGGGGGCGGTCATGCTGGGCATGCAGATCGTGGACGACAGGCAGCTTGCTTGACTTGAGAAGGGAGCCAGTGGTTGTTGTTTGTTGAACTGTCAATGAAGCATACTTTGATATACACTTAGACTTGATGTTTGAAGTGAGGAACCCCTCGAAAGCGTGGTTTCCCTTCGAAAGGGGCACCCTCGACAAAAGGCACGCCCCTATGGATATAGTTTGCTGGCATGTACAAGCGTGTAAACTGGGATTCTGAATAGGTGCTTGCCAAAGTATGGGCAGCTGCAGTGAAAGGGTCGGAGTCTCCCTGAAGTTACAAGGATCCGAGGCGTGGATAGCATCAGGACCTTCCCCATGACAAGGATAGATCTCAGCATCTGAGTATGTGTCGTGAGGTAGTCGATTCCTTGCAAATTGCTGGTTTCAAATCGGGGAACTATTCACATCCGCTCAGATTGAGCTAGGAGTGCGGCTGCACTTCACGGCAGAATCACGCAGAACAGATGTGGATTTGTAAAGGGCGGTTTTCTGCCAGCTTCCAAAACACCAGCCAAAAGGGGTACTCTTCAAGAAACTCAAACATAATCAAGGCACTGTGCTTGTCAGAAAGAGGTCAGGTACTCTTTCACCGTGCTTTTGGATTGGGATTCCAGGGCAAAGCAAATACACGCAGTGCATGTCAAACGCTGGGGCAATACGTTTTCACATATTTTGCTTGGGATGGAGCTTGCCCCTCACGCGGCTGCTTGCTGCTTGAGGCCAAATATCACAGGAACAGCTGTTCAGCACCAGCTGCGAGCTTTTGTTCATGCTTACCCACGTGTCTAAATATGCGGCGGCACCATTCAATTCAGCTTGACCAATTGATTGTCGTCTTTGGTTTTGCTGGCCGCTCTCGGAGTGTGACCGGTGTTTCCCTTATTTAATATGTGTTGGAGGATTGTGGTGTTGTCCCACCGGCTAGCCCAAGGTGGCATATTTTTGCGGGGTGCCAAGTAGTATGGTGCTCATCACTGTCAGCTTGCGCGAGCGACATGTATTGTTTTGTCGCAGACTGTACAAGAACACAGTGTTGAGCAGTTCTGCGGCTTGTATCCTCCTGATACTGAGGCGGCAGCCAAAGGAAATGCGCTACAAGCGATCTGGGTTCTACGCAGAAGCAGGGTAGGATGGGTAGGCAAGAAATGGACTGAGCGTTGTCCTGAAGGTTCGATGCTTGAAACCAGAAGCTCCAGAAGCTCCTTTCATGCCGCAGTTAACGTGGCTATCCTGACCCCAGCCGCCAAAGTTCCAAAGGGCACAAGCGAAGCTTCGAGCCCAAAGCGCAGACGTGTCACCAAGCCAGCGCATGACAAAAAGTGTTGAACCCAAAGCCGCCTCCCCAGCAAGAAGGACATTGAGCAGTGTAGAACCATTGCTTTGGGTGTCCCTTTGTTTCTTACCTTGGCCAAACCAGGAATTGTTTGAACCTGGCGTTAGACATGCACCCTTTCCCTTCCACTGCGCGACCCATCGCTGGTGCCTTGGGTGGGGCAGATCGAAGTCTCGCGGAGGCCTCGCAGGGTATATCCATGTGCCATGAGCCACATCGAGCCATGTGGCAGGTTCCGATACATCCGACGCCTACAGTTTCTACAGGCAGAATCTGCTCTTAATGCAAACTGTAAGTTAGGGAATGGATACATACTCAGGATGATCCTTAGGCACTTTAGGAAGGCCAACAGGGCGCTCGTTTCTCATGACTCATGATCAGGGTTCCTTTGTCAAGAGGCCTGCGGAGTCTCATCATTGACCCAGATAGGTGTTCAACGCGTGGAATCGAATTTGTAGAGACACCAAAAGGCAGCTTGATGGGACCGAACCTCAGAGTTAGCCACCCAAATCAGCAAGGAGGTCCTAAATCAGCATCATTATTCTGCTTGCTCTTTGTCACAGGAATAATCAAGGCATACAGGGATATGAAGCTCTTTTCCGCCAGGAGCAGGATGCGGTGCAGCGCGCTGAGCGGATGTTGAACGCAGGCTATTCGGAGGCCTGGCCAGGGCTGTTTGTTGGTTGGATGCCATGGGCGGGGCGCAACAAGCAACAGCACCTGGTTGCCGAAACTACGACAGCTCCACAGCTGCCCGAAGGGCCCAGACCTCAAGTTGCAGTCGCACATCTCATTTTGGGAATAACATGTGTCCAATATTTGGGCAACTCGTATCACCTGTGAGTTCCAGGATTCAGTCGCCGCCACAGAGCCCGAGCCACCACCATGCACAAGCGGCCAAACGCAGTTGCCGCCTGATGCCGCCTGGGTAGTTTCTTGTTGTTGTTTTTTTGGGGGGGAGGGGGGGGGTCTTATGTTTGTGCGTTCACAGGTGATCTTGGAATCAGCAAGCAACTGGCTCTGGCTCCCCTGAAAGCAACCCCTAGATTTGCATTGGGGGCCGCGTGTACTTTGTTGCAATCCGATTGCTTGCTTTCCATTTTGCAAGCCCATGCTTCTGCCATGCTGTGTTCTTCTCTCGATCCATCGCGTTGTCCTCCAACTCGAACAGTCAACCCTGCTGCATTTGGATCAATTTACTAGTGGTTGCTACAATCGCTCCCCTCCAACAATTTGTTGAACAGAGCAAAGCAACTGATACTCAGAGAAGGGGTCCTTGGGCTTATCTGGTTTAGCTAGCCCGAACACTGCGTCCGCTGGTTTGTTGGTTTCTCCTAGCGCTTGTCTTGTTGATTTGCTGGTGTCCCGCTAGCGGTTTGTGTGTTGGTGGTGTCTGTCCTAGCTTGCGTTTCTTGCGCTGTCCCTATACTGTCCTGGTCGTGCTGTGGTGCTTTAGCGATGTGAAGAAACCCCACACGTGTTTTGGTGCTGTGGTAGTTTCCTGCTCGTACGCGAGACGCTATCAAAGCATTGCCGGGGCATCTTGGCAGCTGACGCATCACACCACACCTGTAGCTGGTTTGTGATTGCGATGGCTACGAAAACATTGCGCGCTTGTGCGACACAGCCGTCCAGCCGTCGAGCCTTCCAGCCTTCCTCTTTCAAGATCTCACAGCCTTTCAGCCTCGCCACTGAGCTGAATAGACACGCTGGCAACAACACTTTCAGCCACCTTTGCAAACGAGCCTTGGCATGCTGAAGACTGGAGATGTGGCCCAAGAGCCGAAGCTCTCTGCCAAAGCGCAGGCCTTGAGCAGGCGCTCTGCCAAGCGCAGACGCCAGTGCTGTGTCATGAGCGCCTAGGTCTGACTCCTCCAGCGTCCTCCTCGTCGGCGTGCTGGACTGCCTTCCTGCAGTGGGCGTCTGTGAGCCAAAGGAAGAAAGGCGTGTGACAAAGGCCCGCACAAGGAAACGATTGAGTTTCGTAAGGACTCTTCGCGCAAGGTTAGCCCAAGGTACAAATGCAAACGTGTAAGCAAAAACTTGTTCCATGTAAGTTTGCGCGAGCATCTTGGCGTAAGAGCCCCGGATGACCTAAATTACAACCAGACCTTGCGAACCTGGCTCACGCTCAACACATGTGGCTTGCTGAACACAGCCCTAGTTTTGCCTGCAGGCCAGCACAATGCCAGGATGTGTTGAAACAAATCTTGATGACCCTGAGAACAGCTTCGGGAAATCTTGCGCATTCTTACTTGTTCCTGCGCGGATTTGTGGTTTTATTGCACCGAGTTTTGCTTTCTTACGCATTCTAAGCACGCGGCCATTGTCTGGCTACACATGTCTTAGCGCGGGCTTGCAGTTCTGTACGGCGATTGGTTGTGGTTTCTGTCGCTTTCTGGGAAGCAAAGGCTTCCAACACCCCACACGCGCGCGCACAGACTGCTATGTTGCCGGTGTTTTGTTTGTTATTTACGGCGTCTCGAGGTCTCTCGGTCGTCTTTTGGGTATGTCCCGTGTGCTGCTTTAGTGGATGGCGTGCTGCCGGCCCAGGTATCCCGGCAATGTTTTGTTGCTGGCTTCCCGCCGCTGTTTTGGTGGTGTCCTGGTGGCGTTCAGGTTTGTAAGGATATCCTGCAAGCCATGAGAACTGTTATGAGTTGAATCACACCAGCACGCGGCAACCTGCGATGAGCTGGTGGGAGTTGCGAGACAGAAAGAACTGCGGGAATTCGCAGGGCAGGGCCCCAGCAGACCTCTTTTACAAATATAGCAAATATTTGTACTGAACACCTGAGACAGCTTCCCGGGAGCATCAAATCGCTCGATGTTCGTTAGCAGGTGCCACAGCCCCATCCGCTGCTGCAGCAGGTGGGGCTCATGGCTGGAGAATGTAAACTTTGTTGCGTTCTTTGCCTTGTTTGTTTGTTTGTTTGTTTGTTTGTTTTTTGTTTGTTTGTTTGTTTGTTTGTTTGTTTGTTTGTTTGTTTGTTTCGGTGTTTGTGTTTGTTGGCTTGGTGCATCCCACCGGATTGTTGGGTGGGTGCCGTTTGTTTAAACCCACATGGAGAGTGCTCTAATTGAATTTGCTTGCGCAGGGGAATTAGAACAAAGCGTTGTTGTTGATTGCAAAGCACAATGAGGGCTCTTGACTTTGAGGCAGTGAGCGAGACACTGATGTGGTTCAGCTGCTGCGCCCACGCAGGGAGAAACATGATTCTCGGCGACTGTTGTTTGGGGTTGGGGCAGCACAGGTAAGCATCCATTTGTCGACCACCTTTGCGCAAACAAGGGCTCCGAGTCGTGGGCGCAGCCAATTGTATTGTTTAGCTCGCTCAGCGCCAAAAGACTTAGCTTGTTCACACATGCGTTGTTGATACCGATTTGTCCAACGCTGGGCCTGGCAATGGAAAACTTTGACGCCCAGAAGATTTGGCGTATTGTGAGCCAGATGTTTATGTAAAGACATGTCGGCCAGAAGCAGGATGCTAGAGATCAGCGGCTGATTGCGGGCGGCAGAGCACTTTACTGTTTGGCTACGACGCTTGGGGTAGACAAAAAGCAGTTGACGGGTGTAAATCCAAACTTGCCAATGAACCCCCATAGGGAGGAAAGCTCGCAGCTGACACGGTGTGCAGTCTTACAAGCTGCGTGGAATCTGGAATTGGCAGGTGGTGCGATGCATGCGCACGGCTGGAGACTGGAGGAGCATGTTTGCCGTGCATTGGCGACTTTCTCAGGACCCTGAAGGCACTACAATCCAAAACAGAGCCGATCTGAGTTTTTGCGTAGGCTTGATCTGCACCTCTGCGATTCGCCGAAACTTGTTGCAAGTGAGAGAGCGGCCGTGCCAGGGACTTGCCTATGCTTCGCCTACATATTTCATGCTTTGTACGTGCAACAATAGCATGTTTTGTTTTGAATGTCCAAAGTGCCCATACCGCCCATACCTATATACAGTGGGTACTTGCGCATCGGCGAACCAGATTCCTCACATATCCCAAAGCCACTTTTCGGCCTACTTAGGCCCGATCTTTGCCAGCTGTGCATTTGCAGGCTTGGGCTCCTAGTTCACCCAGGAGCCCCCTGCCCTGTGCGGGCCTTCGGCTCGCAGGTGCAAAGGGTGTGGGGGGGATCATATTTGTGCCGTGCATCGATGTTTTTGTTAGGGGCGGGTTTCCTTAAATTAGACGGGAGGTTGAGATCTGGTTTTGACATACCCACTTATTTTTCTGGACCCCTTCTGGACAGCCAGCCCCTCGTTTAAGATGAGCAACTTGACCACCCAATAGTGATAGCTCACCAACACATCAGCCAGCGATTCCCTCAGTTTGAGAAGACTGTTCCCCTTTTCCCCTTCATTGGCAGTGTGTGACCTGGCAGGCAACAATGCACAAGCAAAGGGGAAGTTTCAGTTGCGTCCGTTGCAATTGCCCAGGCTTGCGCTCACGTTGTGTTTTGCGCCTAAGTTGCTTGTCCAACATGTTTGCTTTAAAAGCGCTTGCGAGAGCATTACTATGTTGCAATATTGTTATTATTGCTCAAGGGCAGACATGTGTCAGGTTGTTACTCAGCCCGTGCATGTGTGGTTTGACCTGGAGCTACCTGCAGCCTGCAACTCTTCCTCAGATTGTGACTTTCTTGATATTTTTGGAAAGCTCCGTTGTTTCCCTCACCTGTTGTTTTTACCTGTGGAAAGGTAGAGTTGGTTTGCAAACTGATGCACATGACATAGCCGCAAAAGCAATCCGTGAGTTATTAGTGTTGTTGTGTTGTTTGAGTGTTGGTTTGCTATCGGATGCTATCGATCTAGTTTGTTGTGTAGAACTGTTGAGCATTGATTAGCATTGTTTGTTTTTTTCTCTCGGATCTTGGGTTTTGTTTCTTTCCTGTAATTATTTGATACCCATTTTTTGTTTTGGGGTACAACTTGTCTGCATTTGCCCCGACGTTCTCAAAGCCCTGCCTGCCGCGCTGCATTT